TCTCTGGATGCATTCAAGAACTTTCACATCCTTCTGGGACTGTGGGGCCCAGCACTGCACACAGTACTCAGGGTGAGGCTGCACCTCTGCTGGACACAGCAGGATGATCCCCTGTTTTGGCCTGCTGGTGATGCTGTGTCTGATGCACCCCGGATGGGGTTTGCTCTCCTGGCTGCCAAGGCACACTGCTGACTCACACTGAGCTGCTGCCCACCAGTACCCCCAGGTCCCTTTCTGCAGGGTTGCTTTCCAGCTGCCTGTGTCTCACTTTATACTTGTGCCCAGCAGTACTCCATCTCAGGTAAGAATCTGGTATTTGTACTTGTTAAATTTAATGCCACTGATGACTGCCCACTGCTCCAATCTATCTAGACTCTTCTGCAAGGCTCTTGTCCCTCAAGAGTCAGCAGTAGCTCATATTTTGGTGTCATCAGCAAACTTGCCAATTGTCCATTCAACTCTGGAATCCAGATCATGTTGAGCAGAACTAGTTGACCAGTCACCAGCCAGATGCACTACAGCATTTTGAGTTCTTGCCTTCAGCCAGTTCTTCACTCAACACACTGTGTACCTGTTCAGTTGGACAACTTATCCAAAATGGTTCCGGGAAGACCAGTGTCAAAAGCCTTATTAATACTGAGAAAAACTACATCCACCACCTTCCATTCATCCACTAAACAGGTGACCTTTACCATAGAAGGATATCAGATTAGTTAAACAGGAATTTCCCTTTGTTGACTGTGTCTGATGGTTACAATATTCTTTAAATAATCTTCTCCATAATTTTTACAGGAATTGAGGTTAGACTAACAGGTAATAGTTTATTTCTTTAAAAGTTTAAGTACGTGAGAAGAGAATATGCTTTCAGTCTGTCATTGATGATAAGTAGATATCGCAGATCATTTCCAAAAGTGGCATTGACATGTTTTCTTACCAGTGAATGACAAGATCTTCTATGTGAGTGTTTACATAATGTTGTTGAAAAAAGCCTGAAATGATTGTCATTAATATTAAGTGAATCAGGAAATGCTTCTGCATGCTGTGTGCTGGGTAATCTGCTCCACCATTCCACCTGAATGAAACTGAGCACCACCACCCCAACCAAATTTATTAGTATTTGATGTAGTTATCATATATGGGGATATTTCTTTCCTGATTCCAAGAGAGTCTTACTTTCTTAGAATACTCATATAAATGAACACAATGGGCTCACATAAATGAGCACAGTGATACTCTGTTATTTAAAGCCAACACTTTATCTAGCATCTCTTGAAAGAAGAGAAAGGAGGGAGAGGGGAAACTCCCATTCATAGCAGTTTTTCTCACACTCAGCCGCTTTCTAAGACAAAATCAAATTGTTGCTCTCAAGCCAACTCATGGTGTTTTTTTGAAGAAAACTTCCCAGTTTATTTTCATACCCACCCAGAGAGATGGAGTTTCTGGAACATTTTATCAGCTCTATGAGAAATGATAGGCTAAGGAATATAAAAGACACAGTGTTCTTTCAGTTAAATTCTTCCTGTTTTGAAAGCACTATCCTTTATGAAAATAAAAGGTCTTCAGTTTCTGCTGATTCAAGGTCTTGGACTAGCTGTGTAATTCAGATTTCTGTTTGAAAGAGAGATCTCCATCTGTATACACGGGTAAATGGGAAGAGAGGGTGATTGGTACATACTGTGTAAACACTGATAACTCTGGGGAAAGTTAGCCTTTCTTGAATTAAGTCAGGAAGTGACATGAAAAGCAGGTCAGACCTTGCTGTGTGTCTCTGATTTATTTTTACATATGGTGGTAAAGCTATTAAAACAATGTCAAGCATGTAATAATGACAAGCTTTAATAAGATGTCTCTGACAATGGAATACTGTCTAAAACAATGCTATATCATGATGAAGTGCGTTATAATGCACCATTAACAGCTGTTACACCAGCTACACAGAGAAAAAGATGGTATGGGTTATCAATGAAAAGCTTTCAAATACTCCACAGGACTACTTCAGCTCAGATTTGTAACGATCAGCCACTTCAGGGACAACCAGGGGTATCAGTCAAACCAGATGTTTAGCTCCTGTGACTAGGGATAGAGGCTGTCAGTAAACTCCTGTTATGTGAATGTTTCACCTGGAAATGTGGCTTTTCC